GCTGGCCAGGTGGGCTGGCCTCCCAGGACTTGTCCCAGTCTGGAGCCGTGTGCTCCTCAAATTCCGACTCCCCGACCGGCCAGCCCGGAGCCCTGGAGCCAGGCCCAGGCCCAGAGACCACTGCTGTGGGGTGATGTGCCTGGCTCAGCATTTACAGTCCAGGCACCAGGGCCTCTGCTGAGACACCGGAATTTTTCAAACCTCACTCTTCCTTTCATTCACTCACTCCTGGCAAACCATACACTCCCCACTCAGCCCCCGCACCAGGGACCCATTGTCATTCCTGGGGCATTTCAGCCCTGCAGGCCCGGCTAGCGGAGGCCCCCTCCGCCAGGCTTCTCTGTCGGGTGGCTGGCAAGGACAAAGCCATTAGGAGCAGGACTCGGTGCCTAGCTTTTCAATTTCATGGCCGGAGGTTGTCAGGACAGTCAGAGGAAACTGCCAACGATTCACAGCGCAGCCCGCAGATCTGGGGCAGCGCAGCCGAGAACAAGGGCGCGCTTCAGCCTGGGGGAGCGGGGTGTTGGCAGCCACTTGGATGAGAAAGTTCTCTTCTTCCAAATCTCTTTGATTCGGATCCTGTGTTCATTTTAAAAGATCGATTCAGCGATTTTTCACCCTCCCTCAGGAAGGTGTTGCAGATGGATGGGAAGGAAAAGGGGAATGAGGCAGCCAGGCGTCCCTCTCTGGGTGCGGGGCAGGGGGCGGGGGACCAGGATCAGTGAGCCATAAATCTGAGGGGGGGTGCTGTATTTCCAAGTCCTCTCACGGGCTTGGACCACAGCGCTGGGTCGAGGCACACGGCCAGAGCCAGAAGACCTGAAGCCCAAGCCCAGACTCAGCCAGAGCCGCTGTGTGGCTGTGGCCGGTGGTTCTCCCTCTCTGAGCTCTGTGCCTTGAGAAGGGTTGGAAAAAATCATCCCTAATGTCCTTTCCCACCTTCACCCTTCCCTGCTTTTAATACCAATCCTGTCAGGAACCTGTTCACTCCTTTAAGCACAGGGTCTCTGATCTCTTGGGCAGAACCTCCGATGGGTCTGCATTGCGAGGGCCGGTCTGTGACCTCCCGGGAGCTGAGGGACAGAATAAGGTCAGGGAGGGCAGCCTCCAGGTCCCCGTCACATCAACCCGGACTCCCCAGCTGGACACACTCAGGCAAGCTAACACCTGCGGGAATGATGTGGGGAACTCCCATAGGGGTTTCCTGGTTTCCAGACTCTCTCACACACTGTCTCTCGAATTCCATATTCGCCCCCACCCTGTAAGTGAGGTCCTCTTACCTGCCCTGCTTTACAGAAAAGGGAAGCGAGGCTCTGACCAGAAACCCCTGCCCAGCGCCCACCGGCCTGCTCTGGGCCTAGACGAGGGCTGCCCCTGACCAGAAGCTCGGGAGGGGGAAGGGAAGCCAGGTGCGCCTCGCCCGATCTCCGGCCTCCTGCCTTCCTTGCAGCCTTGCGTTGCCACCTGATTGGCCGTATCAGTCCGAGGGAATTCATTGAGACGGTGCTGGGCAGTTCAGGGAGGAGACAGGAGGCTTAGGAAGCAGCCATAGGAAGCAGAGATCACAGAGTTGGGATCACGGACCCGATTCTTGCTACAGAACCAGCCCGGTGACATCACACACGGAGTCGCTGACATGGCACTGTGGCCCCAGCTCCGCTGACCTTGGCCACGTGCCCACACCTGAGCTGCAAGGGAGATGGAGACAGTGGGCATCTGACATTTTCATAAAGGTCTCAGAGGATGGAGGACACCCCCCAAAAAAGGAGGGGCATTGAGATGCCAGGCAACAGGCAGATGGAAGTACGCTGCCATCAGGTTAGGCCGGGGGAGGCTGCAGTAACAGCAGAACCCCAAACCCAACTGGCTTACAACTGGCAAAGATTTACCTCTTGTTCACTCTGCTTGTCATCAAAGGTCAGCCTTGGGCTTGGACGCAGGTCATCCTGAGCCCAGACCTCAGGCTGACGGAGCAGCCACCACCTCAAATACTGCCCCATGTCACCATGACAGAGGGAAAGACAAACGGGCAGCAGCAATTCGAGGCCCCAGAAGTGACACACGTCACTTCTCCTCAGGACTCGTTGGCTGGAACTAATCACAGGGCCCCACCATGAGTCCCAGGAAAATGAAGGGCAGCAAGTGGGAGGAAGGAGCAGTGTCAGAGGGGCCACTCCCCTGCGTGCTGTGGTCCCGAGGGAGCAACTGTGACCCCTCTGAATGGGGGCGAAGCTCCGACACTTGGTGGAGAGCAGCGACAAAAATCTTAAGTGGCCGTACCGTGAACTACAAAGAGCACATTTCCCACTTATTCTTTTCTCGTCTACCTCATATTTATTACCAAGAGCCTGTTCTCGGTACTGAAAACACCTCGACAAAGGGAAACCATCAATCCCTCCCCTCGTAACTGTAGACGTGAGAGCAGGAGACAGAGGTTCATTCAGTCACCTCCCTACCCAAATGTGAATGCTGGACCACCACATACATTAAACATTTGCCCAGGGCCCAGGAATCATAACCGGATTTGCCAGAATGGGGCTTAATCATCTCCCAGGCCCTGAGGACCCGAGGCTGGAAGAGGAGATGCCACTTCCCCAAAGTCCCACCTCCCCAAAGTGACGAGGCCGGGACTCCAACCCAGCGCGGTCGATGCAGAAGTCCCACCCACGCGCTGCTTTTCCACAGCTCCCGCTGCAACCCGTGGATCTCACTTCCGGCCGCCGATTTCCTGCCCTTCCTCCTTCGAGATGTGGCTTTGGGCTGCGGTGGGTTCACACTTGTATGTGGCCTTTGACGTGAAATATTCCAGCCCCTTAATATGTGCAATTCACTGGGATCAGACAACTCGTCACAGATGTTAATACTGAGACCCAACCATAATTTTTTTTTCCTAAAGGATACCTGAAAACGAAATTACTACCTGAGCAAAAACTAAGACAACGTTTTCCGTAGAAACCTGTCGAGGTACTGGATTATTAATGTAGCAATGGCGCCCCCTGGTGACCGTTACTGTGTATCACACATTCCCTGAGGGAAGAGTGTATTTGGGATGTAGTGGCTTCCTAACTCCAAGTTTGGATGAATAATTAGCCTCCCCTCGTCTTGATCACCTTTACATCCCATCCCCCACCCCCACTTATATCAATTCTAGTTGGGAGGTCACAGGTATAGGATATAGCATCTTCTCGCGGTTCATTGTTCCAGCAGCCAGGACACAAGATCCCCAACACCCACAGTGATGGGCAAGTTGTGGTCCCAGCTCTAAGCTTATACTCTAGCAGGGGAAACAGGTGGCCAAATAGCAGATACATCATTCACTTTTAATTGTAGTCATTGCTACGAGAATGAAACTCTGAGTGTCTGTATCAGTCAGAGGAGACCAGATTAGGTCTGAGGGTTAGAAAAGTTTCCCCTAAGGAAAGAGTAAGGTGTGATGGGCCAAAAATGGAGATGAGGCTGGTTCAAGTAATCAGGGGCTTGGAGAATGGATACAGGCTTCTCCTGGAGCCAGTGGTGAGTGGTCAGTGCGAAGTCAATCAGTGGGAACAGCTACTGGGTAATCTCAAGGACCTAGATGTACCAAGAACACTTGTCATTACCGTAACCACTGAGAAACACTGAGCTGATGTTGAAGGGTGAAAATAAACTAAACTGGGTAGTTCTTTTTTTGAGGGTTCACTTAAGCTGTCCTGAATAGAAGTGTTGGGGTGGACAGCATCCCAGATCTCTGCCTATTCTGCCTCTTCCCAGAAGCCAAAGGTGTTGCAGAACTTATTTACATTCCTCTCCATGGCGCACTAAAGGTGAGGAATAACAACAGCAGACATAATTCCCAGGGTGCAGGCAGGAGTTGAGGTAACAGTGGGCAAAAAGCTGCAACAAAGAGAGAGGGTAGCGGTGGCCGCCAATGGGCTCCAAAGGTGAACTGTATCTAACAAGAAATTAGGCTATAAAGCCTTTCCCAGTGTATGACCCCAGCTAGCTCTCGGGATGTAGTATACCTTAAACTAAACATTACAAGATTTGAACTCAGACAACTTGTGTTCAAATACCCCTTGTCTGTCTCTAGCTATGCGATCAGGAAACAAACTCACTGCATCTCCTCTTCTGCATTTGTAAAATAGCAATGACAATAGTATCTGCTTTCCAGAATGTGAAGTGGTGTGTGTAAAGTTGGCAGCGGCATGCACGGCATATTCTACATACTCACTAGTTTATTATTATTATCAACAATATTTAATACCTGAAAGGAAACCCATATATGTAAGAAAAAATTCAGGAAGACAATTTCCCTTATTTTCCAATTTTATAAAACAAGGGTGCATTGCAATTAAAATCAGAAAAAGAAAAAGAACCCCACATTTTTCTGCATAACAGAACTTTGACTAGTCCACTGTCTCCCAAATGTTCCAGATAACATTGTCCAAAGAGGCTGAGGGGGTGCAAGTTAAAAACAGATTCCTAGGCCCAGGCGCCCCAAAAAGTAGATGAGACTCTAAAGCAGGGGCGTCAAACTCATTTTCACCGGGGGCCACATCAGCTTCATGATTGCCTTCAAAGGGCCGAATGTAATTTCAGGACTGTATAACTGTAACTACTCCTTAACTAGGGGCAAGGAGCTCTCATTCAGCCCTTGGAAAGCGACAGCGAAGCTGATGTGGCCCCCGGCGAAAATGAGCTTGACACCCCTGATCTAAAGCATAAACCTGTTGATCAGCATTTTTACCTAGCCCCGCAGATGACTTATAATCACGCACTATTGGGAGGTGCTAATTTACAGCATGGCTTGCAGTGACTGACGAGACACACCAGCCTAGGTTGCAGATATCACGAGAGCCTAAGCCTACAATTCCCATAGGGCCCCACAAACTGGCGAGAAGCGAGCCGAAGCCTGCCGGGAGTTGTAGTTCGGATCCGCCAGACATCTGCCTATAAATACGCGGGCGGTAACTGCCGAAAACCTCCCGCCCCACAATGCAAATGTAAGCTGTGACGTCATCCGCGGAGCGCCTAGGGTGGGGCGGACAGTTGGTGCAGCCCCCACCGCCACCGCCCCTACCGCCACCTCCCCTGCCGCCGACCCCCCCCTCCTCCTCCCCCGCCACCACCTCTGCACGACCCCCGCCCTCTGTCCCCAATAAGGAGCTGTATTAGGTCTCCTCGGCGGGCCCGGGGAGCAACCATGGCGGATGGCGGCGGCGGTGGTACGGGTGCTGTGGGCAGCGGCGGAGCTGGCTCAGCCTCGGCGGGGGCGGGGACCGGCGCGGCGGGGGCCGGGAGCGGCGGCCCCAGCAACCCGGCCTCGCTTCCTCCCGGCGACCCGCAGCTCATCGCACTCATCGTGGAGCAGCTCAAGAGCCGGGGCTTGTTTGACAGCTTCCGCCGAGATTGCTTGGCCGACGTGGACACCAAGGTACCGAGGCCGCCTGGACCGAACGGGATTGGGCCGCGTGAGGCCGCCCAGGTTGCACCTTTGCGTTTCCAAAGCAGAGAGAAAAACAAAAGATACCTTTAAAAATGTCACTCGTGAGGTCAGACCGCTTGGGGCAGCACTGGGAGCGTTCAGAGCAGTGCGCACGTGGTTAAGGCTCCCAGTCCCTTAGAGCCTGGACCCTGTCTTTCCCAAGATGAGATTCTTTAAGCCTCTCAGCAAAACCTCAATGTGTTAACAGCGGAGAAAGCGAGGTAAATAAGGCGAAAATGGTTTGAATGCACAATCATCAGTATTGTAGGCATTTGTTCCTTTCTCTGGCTCCGTGACTGCAGTCTTGCTCGTGCGGCTCGTGCGTTGAGTGAAGGAGGTGCGCTGTGGTAGAGCCAGCCCGTTTTGTACTCCATGGCTGATGGAAATGCGTTTGGTGCCTATTTTAGATCCTAATGCCTTAGGTCAAACCCATCCCCAGTAAAATGCGATCTCACGCTAGGTAGTTGCTAAGGCTGTTTGGATCCAATGAATGTCTTGTGTCAGACATGCAGTGGTTGCTAGAACCTTCGTTTCAGAAGCTTCTCTCACATGACTCTGGCTGTAGGTTCAGGAGACTCCGCCACTGACTGGGCAGTGACTTCCCCTCTCTGAGCCCAACTGCAAGATTGTGAGCATCAGATAAGACCCTAAGGCTAGGAAAACCCCACTGAACAGATACTGGCCCACGTCACGCTGTGCCGTGTGGGCACAGGAAGTCAGCCACTACTGTCCTCAAAGCCTGTGCACGGGGGTGGGGATGGACACTCAGACCTGACAGTACATGTGAGAGTACGTGTGAGTGGTCTGTGCCGTTACTCTCCTCCAAGACTAAAAAGCCAAGGAGTGTGTGGTTCTGGCCTTGAGGTGTTTTCAGTTCTCTTATTTAGGGGTCTCAGATACATAACGTCAGCTCCCACCTTTCCCAGGACTCGGTTTGCTCAGCTCTCCATCACGATACGTTCCCGCCTGTATTTCTTATGTTCCAGTCAGTTGTGTGTGGTGTAATCGACGTAGAGTGGGTTTTTCTCAATATCGAGAAGCTGTTGAAGGACAGGGAGCTGAGCATCCCCCTTGGATGTGCCTCCCGCTGATTATCCCCAGATTGTTTTAATTCTCAGACATAGAGTATTTTCAGGCACACCTCGAGTTTCTCCATGGCTTTAGGCCCGTGGCTCTCGACGTGTGGTCCTGAAACAGTAGCAGTAGCTGAGAACGGGTTAGGAGTGCATATTCTCAGGCCCCGGGTAGGTGGTGATGTTTGCAGTTTACTTGGCAGCGCATCCAAACTATAAACAAACAGAGCAGACTGATCGGGGGTCCAGAGAGGGGGATAGATAACGCAACAAAATGTGAGTGGCGGGACCCAAGGCCCTTTCGCTTGATGAGTGAGGATTGTTCTGTGTGGTCAAGACTGTTATGGGTTGGGTGGGGACGTTGGCTCTTCATCCTTTTTTAGTAACCGGTCATCTCAAACCAGGAGAGTTGTTTTGGACCGAAGGTTCAGTGTAAGGGTGCATGGTGGCGAAGGACAGATCTGACTCCAGCTCCCACAGAACCGGAGGACAGGCTGAGCGAGCACACTGCCGGGAAGGGCAGGGCACGTTGGGCCCAGGGCTGCTCTGCTCCTCGAGGGCTGCCTCGCGTCCCTGTTCTTCGTTGCCATCATGCTGTTGTGCAGAGCAGGGCCGCCCCTTCAGTTACTAGTATCTCTTGATTGTGTCTTCTTCCAGCCCCTCCTCTGGAAAGGGATCCTCAGCTCCAGTTTAAAAAAAAATCCCGGGGGAAGGTCTGCGTTGACTTTGCCGTCCGCTGTTCACAGCCGTGGCCAGAAGAACATGGTACCCTCTGCCTCACCCTTGGAAAGAGAGGAGGATGGTTACCAGGAGAAGGGAGTTGCTAGGCAGGCAGTCCGCAAGAATGGAGGGCTGCAGATATCCGAAGTTCAGCTGGTCTCGGCAGGCCGCAGCTGGGGGGCTCAGCCGTGGGTTGCAGGCTGCCTGGGCGCAGGTTCCAGCCGTGGGTTGGGTAGTTCGGCTGGCTGCAGGTGGACTCATCCCAGGCCGCAGGCTGAAGGGGCAGAGGCCACCCAGGACATGCTGCCATAGAGGGTCGTCGGGGCACAAGAGCCAAGCCAGGGAGTACAACCACCTCTAAAGTCTCGTGTCCCTAATTCCATTGACCGGAGCAAACTACGTGGCTTGACTCAGCAGAGGGGAGTGCCCTCTGCCCTGGTGGGAGGGGGCGAGCGGCGCACCTAATACACCCAGTTTGGAGAAGAGCAGCCTCTCCCGGCACCGGGAGCTTCTGCAGGCTCGGAACACGCGTTCCTGGTGTTTGCCAAGTCCCTCCAATGTCGTCCTGGTGCCAGTCGGGTCTAGAATCAGTAAGTGCCTCTCAGCTCCTTTCAGACTACAGCGAGTCCCCTCAGCCTTCCCTGGGTTCCCAGGCCCTGACTGCAGTCTGTGTTCTTGCGTGCTACTGAGGCCTGGGGGTCCCTTCGTTGTATGCAGAGGGCTTCCCCATGCCTCTCTTTGTTGCTAAGACCACCCTGCAAGGTCAGGGGAAGCAGCACTGTTACCATGTCCAGGTTGGAAATGACTGAGACCCAGAGGCTGTGGGACTCGCTGAAAGTCAAAGAGCTGGTAGGTGATGGAGCCAGGCTGGGACCCAGTTCCTTTGATTTGGAAAGAGCCCAGTCTTGCCGTGGCTTTGCCACTCGGGCAAGTTGCCCAGTTCTCCCAGCCTCCGTTTCTCATCTCTGAAGGGGCAGGAGAGGGCTAATAGGACCTCCCTCTGAAAGTTACTTGAAAAGTAAATGAGACAATCACATACAGCAGCTGGCACTGTGCCTGTGCACAGAGGCCGGGCACTCGGGTTAGCCATTAACTCGCACTCTGCCCACTGCGTGGTCTCACAGTCCCCAGGAGAATGTTGGTAAGAACTTGAAAATCTGCGTTTCTACGCAAAGCAGTGTTGGGATTGACTGGCTACAAAATTGCGATGTTTGTAACTTCTGACCTTGCCCCTTGTTTTTAATACTTCAGCCAGCTTACCAAAACCTGCGGCAGAAAGTGGATAATTTCGTGTCGACGCACCTGGACAAGCAGGAATGGAACCCCGCGATGAACAAGAACCAGCTGCGGAACTGTCTCCGGCAGAGTGTGGTGCAGTAAGTAAGCAGAGGCGAGGGCGCAAAAGCGGCGGCACCAGCGTGCGACATGCGGCAGGCAGTGCAAACAGTGACTGGGGGTCACTGTTTGGTCGGGGGGTGTACCTCACAGCTGCCATCCACACAAGTAGTGGCAGACTGCTCCTGGATCAGAGGTCGTCGGGGCCAAGGAGGCGCAGACCTCCAGTGAAGTCCTTGCCAGTGTCTCCGACCCATGTGGGCTCCTGGGCCCATCCAGCAGGTGCATCAGAAGATGCTCCCAACAGCGAAACTGGACCTCTGTCCTGGAGGATTCCACGCAGTCCCCACACACGTGGGCATTTCCTGCCGAGACCCCGATGTCTGGGCCTTGGGCCCAGGGAGCTGGACGGTGACCCTCATGAGCCAGTACCTAGCTTACCCCCTGTGTGCATTTTCCAGCTTTTTAATTCGATCTAGGATGTATTTAACCAGAAACACGAATTTGGACCTGATCAGACTTGATCCTGGGACGTTTCTCTGTGATTGTTACTAACATTTCGACTCTGAGGCCAGTCCGAATAGTTTTGGAATGAAGGTTTGCTCCGTAGGCCTGGAGGTTCTGACCCGATGTGACCCCGCAGCCCAGCACTGGCCCGCTGGCCTGGCCGTCGGGGCCCGCAGGCTGGGGCCCAGGTCACGCCGGGCTTCACGGGAAATCTGGCTGTGACTTGGACTAGTGCTGACAGAAGGCGCTTTAACCGCGTGACGCCTGCCCGCTGCCCCCCTGGTGCAGGCTCCTGACAAGATTGCACGTTTCCCTCAAACGTATGTCTCCCCTGATCGGGCTTCCACGTCCAGGGAAGACCCAGGGGACTCTGCGTCGGGAAACGGGGTGCCCTGGGAAGCGAGGGGCTCGTGACTGGGGAGGGTGGCTCCACTTCCCGGCTCTCCACGGCCCAGCGCTGACCCGCCGTGTCCCGCGCTCACCCCGGAGGGCGCACCCTGTCTGAGGCGGGCTCCCGCGAGTGCACAGGCACTGGTGGTGCTGTGTGCGCATCCCGCCGACAGCTGCCAGTCGCCCCGGGTCCAGGGAGCACCTTCCACGCGGCGCAGCCCTCTCGGCCCAGGCGGCCTCTCGTCTGGCACGTTTCCTCTGCGCTGCCTGGCGCCGGCTGTGCAGCCGCTGCAGGCCAGTTCCACCCCAGCAGAGGCCTCACTGGCCCGAGGACTCTGCGGCCATTGTGCTCACGGCCGTGCTCACGTACTTCAGGCCTTGGAGCTGCCATTTTCCAGGGAGTCCACACTCTTCCTCACTACCCTGCCCCAAGCACTTGGATGCCGACACTTTGGCTAATTTTCGCTCTACTTCAGAGAAGGATTTGGGGTGCGTTTTAGCCCCACAGGACCTTAGAACCAGGGGGTCTCCTGTCTGTTGACTTGTCTGCTCCCGCGTCCCTGGTGTGTGTTCCACGAGACGGCCACAGCTGCAGGCCACGCGAAGCTGCTGGCCGTGCAGTGTAAGCCCCCCAACACGCATCCCTGACGCGGGTTTGGGGTCAGCAGCCACGTTGCTGTGGAGGCTCCCCCGCTTGGCCGGTAAGAGAACAGGGGGCAAGGGAGACGCCGTCAGGTCTGGGGCCGGCTGCCTGGGGCAGCACGGGGACGCTCTCCGGCACCGTCCTGTCCTCAGCTCCTCTCCTGCCGAGTCACTGCGTTTCCGCTGCCTCTGGGACGGGCAGCTTCATGCTCTTCAGTTTTTTTGTCCGGTGCTGAGGTGGCGGGGAGGGGACCATGAGGTGGGAGTGGGCAGTGGCTGCTGGCCGCGCGCCGCTCCTCTGAAGGAAACGTGGACAGCCCCGCACTCTGTCCACACCTGGATCGGCCCTGGAAAGGACTCCCCAGAGTGGCCCCTGGACCCACCCGCAGCACTTGCTGGGGACGAGAGCATCTCGAGGGAGCCAAGTAACAGAACAGTCTCTTTGTCTCCCCAAGGTCAGGGATGTTGGAAGCTGGAGTGGACAGGATCATCTCTCAGGTGGTGGACCCCAAACTGAACCACATCTTCAGGCCGCAGATCGAGCGAGCGATCCACGAGTTCCTGGCGGCCCAGAAGAAAGAAGCCGTGCCGGCACCGCCCCCAGAGCCAGACGGCCAGGACCCTCCGGCCCCAGCCCAGGACACGTCCTAAGGTCCGGTATCCTGTCTGGTCCGGGAGCGGTCATCTCTGGCTTAGAGAGATAGGAACGGGTAGGAGAGGGGTAAGCCACCCCTGGGGACGAGTGCGTGCCTTGTCTGTGCAGAGGAGTGACACGGGGGCCTCCCCCTGCTGCTCAGTCGGTTTCCACCGTGAGCTGGTCCGTCGCGTGTCCCGGTGTGTTTGTGTGTGCCTGTCCGTGCCCCGGAGCGCAGCACGTAAACCACACAGAGACACTGCATTAGAGACCGGCTGGGACGATCGGGCTGCACGAGGTAAATTCAGATGAAAATCGTGTTTCTTCTGGAATTGCTTCAGTGAGTCTCCCTGGACTCGAGTTAAATTTGGGTTCGCAACTCGGTTGTGAAGTGGAACCACACATTTGAAAGTGGCCGCAGCCTGAGTGGGACGCGGGTCTTCTCGAAGCCCTGCCGGGTCCCCTTGTGATGCAAGGAGGCTGAATTCACCACTCGGTCACCATGAGCTGCTTCTGTTAAGTGCACCCCTTTTTTCTCGAATCTGGGGTTTGATTTGCAAAATCGGCTGTAGATGCACAGAAGAGTGCTCTGTGCGGCGTTCGGAGGACGTTCGTCAACACGAGCCGAGAGTAGCCGTGGACTCGGGTTCGCGGGCTCAGCCGTTGTCGGTGAGGACCGGGTGCGCCTGGGGTTCTCCCCCTTGGGGGTGCCCTGGCTGTGGGACTCTGTGAGGTGTCCTGGTTTCTGACGAGCATCAGCGAGTGAGCGAAGCTGATGGGCTCCCACGGGGCACTCACGCGAGAGCGGCTCTGTCCTTGTGCCCGCGCTGTCAGACTTCCGCTTTAAGTCTCCTGTTCAGTTGTGAATTCCATTAGGGACATAAAATGCAGTGCATGCACCTCTTCTCAGCAAGCATCTGGTCTCTCTTTAGGACGCGCCTGACATCCTGTGGAAGCCGCACTGAGTAGGCGGGAAGCAGTGGACTCAGTTCGTAACAGGACCACTCGGAGTGAAAACGGGCCAAGGGCATCCCTGGTGTCACCTTGGACTGTGGGGTGGGGTCCTCAGTGAATGGGGAGCAAGTTTGGCCTGGGTCCCCTACCATCCGGCCCACCTGTCCGAGGAGCTAGCACCAGCAGACACTACAGAGATCTACAGGAACACTACACTTACCTGGGGTTGTCCTGGAACAAACCTTCATACTTGAACTTGGAGACTCTGGGGTTCACACTTGGCATAAACGACAGCTGCGGTGAGAGACCGGAGCGGTCCCAGAGATGCAGTTTGAGGGCGCAGGCACGGGTAGCTGGAGCGAGTGAGTGCTCATTTGACATTGTCTCTCAGAGGTGCAGACCAGAATGTACATGCTGTTAGCATCCAATCGCTTTCAGGTTGTTGTGACCCTCCTGTGCCCAGCCGACGCGCGCAGAGGCTCGGACACTAGGAGGGACGGTGTGAGCTCTGTCCAGGCCGCCTTCCTTCCCTCCAGGCCAGGAAGGCTTAGGTGTGTTTATTTTTTGTTGTGTTTGTGTTTTTTAGGAAAGTGAATGATCAATAAACTAGCTTAAGTTTTTTAATAAAATCATTTGCTACTCTTACTCCAAAGCTTCAACAGATGCCTGGACCCCAGGGTGTAAAGGGAAGCCACCCCCCCCCCCCCCCCCCGCCTGCAGGCCTGGGCACAGCACGTGACTTCGTGGCCAGGACGGATCCACAGGCAGAACTTGGCCCTGAAGCCAGGAGGCCCAGCGGGGGCCGGCGGGCACGTGGGTCCTCTCCTCTGCTGGACTGCTGCCATCGCTGGTCACTGGCTTAGGGCAGCGCGTTGTGTCAGTGTTTCCCAGACCTGAGTGTGCGGGAGGGTTACCCGGAGATCTTGGGAAAATGTACGTTCTGGTTGAGAAGCCAGCCTTCCCCACACGCTGTTTCCGGAGCTTTGGGCTCCATCTCATCTTGGGGGGGCACTTAAAACTAAGAGACGCCCCCTCGTAGTTGAGTCTGCTGCTGGGTGTTGTTAATGTGATGAGTTGTAACCTGTAGTGAATCCTGACTTCACACCATTGGTAGCTCCTTGGAAACTACAGCTTTAAGGAAAATGAAATGAACAAATCCATTTCACCCTAATAGGCTAATTGACATAACGAGATAAGCTCCCATGGCATCTTTCTGGTTACAGAACTATCACCAAACTTCTACATACAGACCTAAAACATTTCTAATATTAAACACCGAAGTAATTGCAAGCTATACCCACTGAAGAAAGACGCGTGGAAAGGAGACCCGTTTTCCCACCCTGCGCAGTCTGCTCCCCGCCACAGGCCCCCACTCCCAGAGGGACAGCGTGGGTGCGCCCGCTCACCTCCTGGGCACACTTCGGGGGTGGGGCGGGAGCACGCCCACGCGAGCATGGGGAACACACGCCAGCTGGGCGCAGGCGGGGCCTGCCGGGAACTGGGCCTCTGTGGTTCATCAACATCACCATGAAGCAGCATTACCTGGGGACCTAGTGTGCTGGTTCCATTAAACTAAACCACTCCCACCTCTACCAGCAGCCCTAGATGAGGGCCGCACCCAGACACTCGGGGAGACATTCAGGCAGCGCACACCCTCGGGGAAGCAGGCTGAGGGGCAAGTTCCGGTGCCAGCTGAGACTGGTGCGTGTCCCTTCTCAGTGTGGGCTCGGCGCCTCCGGAGGCCTCTCGTCCTCTTGCCGAACAGGGAGGCAGGAGTGGGCGGTCTTACCCATCCAGCGCTTTCCAAAGAACCTCCTCTGACAAACCCGCCCTGCCCCCGCCCACTCTGTGTGCCTTGCTGCCGCCAGTGTTGGCCACCCGTCTTCTGATGCCTGTCCAGCATGCACTCCTCCGACACCGAGTCGGACCTCCTGGAACACACCCACCAAACATGGTCCACGTCCACGCAGCTGTTCCCACCAGCAAACGGGAACTAACTCACATTCCACAAGTTATTAATAAGCCTGGGTTTTACTGGTTTCCATTCCAAGCACCAGTCCGCCCATAAAGGTTTGGGCGGGGGTGGATGAAACACAGTGGGCGTCATTAGGTCAAGCCCCCACAAAGCAGCAGTCACCTGTCACTCCATGCCCCTCACCCAGCGCCTGCTAGGAACACCTTGTGGTTTGCAGGCGGCCTGGACACCCGGGACCACCCCTCCCCTGCCAGGGCCCAGCCTGCCACCTCCCCGCACATCCGGAGGACTGTGTCTGCACCGCCGCGGAGGTAGAGCCGCCCCTCACTGTCGGCAGAACCTTTGGCCTCAAATGCTGCCAGCCAGCTCCAGGGAGATCGGCTGGAACTCGCAGGGGCTGAGTTAGCCCAGGGCAGGTCCCGGGTGGAAGGAGAGCACTGCTCATCACCACGCCATGAGGGGACCTCTGACACACTACCTGCAAGACAGGTCAGGAGGAAAATACCCTGCGTTTTCCCAGGGGAACCGCCTCCATCAGAATGGAGCTCTGGGCCTGTCCGCCGGGCTCCTTCCCTACGGTTTGGAGGAGCCGGGCGACGTACCCAGGTCTGTCCCTTCCTACAACCACATCGGTCCCCTCCGAACCTGTCTCCTCATCTACAAAATTGCTTTGAGGACTATAGGTAACATTTTAGCAGCAACTGTTGCTGTTAATTTTACCCAGGAAGGCAAGACCACCAAGGTGGAGCCGGCATTGTCTGTGCCCTCGGAGCCTTCAGGGCTCAAAGCGCAGCTCCACCCAGAAGCAGCTGGGAGCCTCTCTGTCCCCGCAGCCGCAGGGACCTGGGGTTGTGCACGTGAAGTCCTTAGTACAGCCTGGGATGCAGTGAGAGCTTCAGACGCGGGCACTGTTACTGCTTCTGCCTGTCTTCTCTTCTTGACCCGAACCAGACCCCGGCTTGACTCTGCCTTCTCTCTCTCCCCGATTCTGTCCCGTTTTTCAGCCAAGCATGGCCTGAAAGCTGTCTTTGTGGGGCAGCCACCCAGGCCTGACCACAGCACCAGGTCCTGTCAGTGTCACGGCGAGAAACAGACGGAGGCAGGGTGAGTAAACACCACTCCCTGGTGGCCCCGGGGCCGCCCACAGCGCAGGAGGTCGGTGGGAGCGTGGCGGCCTGGTCGGACGGAAATAACAGCCAAGCCCAGGGCAGGCCGTGGCATAGGCAGACCCTTGGCCAGAGAGAGCAGCAAGCAAGGTTTGAGGTCAAAGAGCATCCAGGCTGCGTCCCCGCTCCGGGTCGCCGCCCCAGGCTGGGCCCAGCTGGCTCCCTGCCCTGGTGTCTGCTCCCCTTCTGACTTACCTCACCCTCGGTGTGAGCACCGGGAGCGCACCCAGGTGCCTTCCCTGCACTATGAGGATCCCATGGGATCTGCCCCATCACAGATGAGGAACCTGAGCCTCAGTAAAATGATCTCAGCGAGAAACAAACGTGCACTCGGGCCCCAGAGCCTGCAGGTGGCCCAAGGACGGGACACCCCAGAACACAGCGGAGCACTGGAGGGCCAGGCGGGCAGGGCGGAGGGCGGGCCGCACGGAAGGAGCGCAGCGTCACTGTGACACGTGGGAACCTCAGTCTTCCACTCCAGACACAAAGCCCAGTTCTCAAGTGACACCAACTCCTTCGGCAGGGACAGCGTGACCTTGGCCAGGCTCTCACCGACCTTGAGACACTCACAGCAAGTGATCTCCACAATCAAAAGGACAAACACTTAAGTGCCTCCCAGGGGCCAGAAAAATTTTGGCAATCGCAGCATTTTATCCGACGGCTGTCCCTCCGTGATAAAAATAACCTTCGAGTTTGGAAGTCGGGCCTTGTTTTCCCAGATCGCTTTCACCGCTCCCGAAACAGCCCGAGCTGGAAGAGTCTTCCCGTTCATCTCAGAGTGGAAAAGTTCCTGGTGGCAGGCCCGCAGGGCCGGGACCTGCCCTCCCCCCACCCCGGCAGGGGACTCGGGCCACGTGCCGAGAGACAGCGGGACATTACAGGAGGTACAGGCACTCAGGTCAGTGCCGGTCCGTCACCCAAACAGGGCAAAGGAGGAGACACTCTCGGGACAGATTGTTTTGCTGTGGTTTTGTGACTGTTTGACCTTTTTTTTTTTTTTTTAACACTCTGCTCAGAGCAAAAGAAAGAAAACTTTTCCACTATCATTTGGGAAATTCCTGAGTATATCATGTCAAGATTCTGGGGCACATCCTTCAGCTCAAGTGGGACCATGGGGACAGCCTGGGGCACCAACTTCAGGGACACCTGCCGCCTCCACTGCGTATGCCAGTGGGCTGTCCTTCCCTCTCCCCCCTCCTCCGCCATCGGCCGCCTCCCCTCCTCTCCCTCCAGGTCAGAGGAGCGACTCTGGGCCTGGAGACCAGAGAAGCCTCTTCCACAGCCCCCCACCCCCCACCCCCACTAGTCGCTAACAGATTCTCAACAAATGGCTCCAGTCTCCCTTATGCAGAGAAACCCCTATAACCCTCGCAGCCCCTCTCTGCCAGGGAGGGAGCCGCACTCCCCTTTTCCCTGTGGGCCCCACACAGGGACTTCCCCCCACAAAGGCAAACTGGACGGGTGAGAAGCCGGACAAACGCCCCCTTAGCCAGGCAATCAAGGTCACCGTCAGAGTGGTCACCATCAGAGTCACGCTGACGGCATGTCCCCTGGCGAGGGGCCATCCTCCCCCCAGCCTGTAGCCTCAGAGCATCCTGAGAAAAACGAACAGACGCATCCCAGTGGAGGGACATTCTACATGACAGCTGACCAGTGCTTCTCCGACCGTCAAGGTCAGCAAAAATGAGGAAGGTGTGAGACGCTGTTATGGCCAAGGGGAGCCTGGAGACATGGTCACTAACTGCAGCAGGGAACCCGACAAGAGACCCTGCAACAGAGAAAGGGCATTAAGTAAAAACAAAGGGTCTCCGAATCAACATCTGTTCACAGTGATGCATCAGTCCGTTCCTCAACTGTGGAAATGCCCCACGGTGACGGAGAGAGTAATGATAAAGGAGACAGGTGCCGGAAATGCAGGAACTCCCTCTGTCCCTTTTGCAAGTTTTCTGTACATCAAAAACAGTCTGAAAATGTAAGGTTTGTTTTAGACGATGAACGGCTTCAGCTCACCTTCCGCCTTCCTCTACCAGGGTGTCCGACCTGTGACCCGAGGGCCACATGCAGCCCAGCACGGCCATGAAGGTGGCCCAACACAAAATCACAAATTTACTTAACACCCGAGGAGGTTTTTTTTGTGACTACCTGTTGCAATGTACTTAACGTGTGGCCCAGACACCCCTGCAAGCCTCCGTGTCTCGGCTGTTCTACTATGTTCACTTATCTGTCTGGATATTTATTTATTTGTTTCCCCACACTGGAGATATCCATCAAAGTTCGGTCTATCAAGCCAGTCATTCGTCCCAGGGGAACGCACCAGCACCCCTCGGCCCCCTGGGCCAGTTTTCAGGGCGCTCCCGAGGGTCCGAGGACGAGTTCCATTCGGAGGTTTTCTGTGCAGCCACTTGCCGAAGCGGGCTCTTTCCCTCGGGGCGGAGACCCCACTGGTTCCTGTTGGAAGCTCTGAGCAGTAAATAATAAGGGTTT